CTCAAAGATTGAAACTCAAAATAAAGAAAAAAGAAAACTCTAGAAGGGGAGAGAGAGGGTCGAGCGGGAATGAAGAGAGAAGGAAGAAAATGAGGCTTAAAACATGCATATGGGTCCCACCATTTTTTTGAATTTCTTTTCCCTTTTTCTTTTACTCCAATTTCTACATCACACACATATAATGCAACACATAAAATACCACTTAATCCACATAAATTAAAATGCACAAAATGCAATGGACCCAACTAAAAACCCGTACACAAGACGTGAAAAGACCGAAATACCCTTGCATCAACGAATTACCGGAAAAATGAAAAATGTAGAAAATTGGACACGTCATAGCTTCCATCTTTGAAAAATCATAAAAATCCCAATTCTCATCCAAATTGAGTGAATCCAAAGGCCACTAAAAGTTCAAAGACTATATTTTCAAGATAAAATTTTACTTCACCAAAATACCTTACCATTTAAAGCAAGTTTGATGAGAAATGATGAGCGCTGAAAAGTGCGCATTTAAACCCCTTAAGCTTAGGTATTCTAGGACCTTTATCTATCTTACTTTCTCGTTTTAGACTGATTTTGTATTATTTTCATTTTCAGGTACTTATCCCCAAAATAAGCTAACTCAACTAAATAAGAGCATAATTGAAGCAATCTTGAGATGAATCAAAGAAATGAGCAAAGTGGAAGCAGTTTAAAACAAAGTATGGAATTCAGCAGGTTCGATCGATCACAAGTATATTTCGATCGATCGAAAATTCATCGATCTAGACATTTCAAGATGGATCCAAGCTATTTTGTCCTTATCCAAAGATCCCACAAAGTTCGATCGATCCAACAATTCTCAGATCGATCGAAAAGATTCCATCTTATCCTGTTGTACCACCATACCTACCACTTTTATCTCATTCCCCAAAATATCTTAGATTTGTCTTTATCCAAAAAGGCGTCACCATAGAGGATCGATCCAGCTTAAGTTTGATAGATCTCAGCCATGTTCGATCGATCTCAGAGAATGTTTGATTAATCGAACTTCCCCAAGTGCGAGAAAATTCAATTTCCAGCTCATTAAAAGCTGTCTCATATCCAATCATTGGGAGGAATATTGGTGTACGAGCCTAAGTCATTGGGGGTGACATTTTAACCTATCTATATAAGGAATATAAGCCATTCTTGATAGCATACTTGAAAGAAGACTTTTGACATAATTTCCATATCATATTCTTAGTGAGGAAGAAAAGAATTGAGGAGGCTAGAAACACAAGCTTGAAGTTCTTCCATCAACCAAGAAGAGGAGCAATTTCTACCATAGAGTTAGCCCTTGAGTGTTAGAGGACACCATTCATGAGTGGCTAGACATCCTCTTGGGGCTAGAATTAGCCCTCAACATACTTTCTACATCTTGATTTATGTATTTTTCAGGGGATTTGTATTGTGATATATGTTTTGACATTTTTATATACATAGATCTTATTTATTCAATGATTTGTGTGGTTTAATGCTTCCAATTGATCATTTCATTCTATCTATATGTCTATGTATGCTAGAATAGATATTCATGTGTTTGTCTCTAGATTTTGTATTATTAATGCATGTCTATGTGTATTGATGTTATAGATCTAGAGATTGTCAAGACATAGTGCTTATTAGAATGCTCTTGTGGTTTATTTGATGGTTCATACTCATTTCTTAATGGATTGTGCCTCTCTCTTAGTTTAATTAGTTTAATTTCATGTCATTAGCTTAATTGTAGTGTAGTTGTAGTTTAGATGTTAAATGGGAAGACAATCCATGCTTGTTATTTGATATTCCATACTTATGAAAACAAGTAGCATATGTCTCTAACCTTGTGATGTGTTTAGATTGTGAGATTAAAGAAAGGATTAATGGCTTAGTTTGATATATTGTGTTATCCACTATATTGCTTAGACAATATATACTTAATTAGTCATCCATGCTTATTAAAACAACCACACATACACACACTATTGTTGCAATACATATTTTCCCCCTCATTAATCATTCATTAAGGGTGTAGAAAAACTATGTTTAGATCTCTAAACCCCAAGATCTCTGTCTCTCTTATTTTCTCTCTATTACATTTAATTATTTACTTTAATTTAAATTGCATCTTAGTATAATTCAATCACCAACCAATCTTTTGATCACTCGACCTACTAACCCTAATCTCGATTCCACAACCTAATACGACCCACCAATCCCTTGAGACGATCCCTACTCGCCCTAACTATATTTTTAGTGAAAGGTAGTAGTGATAAATTATAAATGTAAAACTTGACCACACTCATCTTAGTCCATCTCTTTGCAAGCTTTGGGTGAACCGCGGCTTAATCACACCAAGAAAGACTCAAACAGAATCTGCCCCAACCCAGAATTTCCAGCAAGAACACTCTAACTTCAAAAATTCATAGTAAATTCATTTCTCAACCAATTTATGGGGAGCTAATTCTTAATGAAAGCTAATTAACTATATTATCATAATATCAAATCATCTCTAAATGATAAATTACGAATTACAGGAATTTGAGCAAAACAGTAGCGTGTAATTTCAACCCAAACAGTTTCAGCATGCTTTAGTTTAATTTTTTATACATTTTACAACTTAATTTAAAAGAGATTAACTCACTAAAGGCAAAGGAATTGAGGGTTAGACAATCCTACCTCAAGGGAGTTTAAACCCTTGGAACAAACACCTCTAAGCTACCACATGGATGGATCAAATCACCAAAGTGAAGAACAAACACTCATTTGCTATCAATGAAACTCCTCCCTTTTTCAACCAACTTCTGAAATGTTGTGATGAAGGAATGGACACACCCAATACACCAATGGAAAGCTCACTCTCTCTAGCTCACTTTTCATTCACATGGCAACCTCTAATTCACCCCACAAAACTCTCAATTTTGGGCTTAAAACCATGTCCTATAATGAAGGATAATGATGGACGAAGGTGGAAGGAAAATTACAGAAGTCATACACAGCCTAATTCTGCATAAATGAGTCATACAAGATAAGCTAAATGAATTTCATGTGGTGTCCATGTGTCCATGTATCAAGCCCACCATGAGTCAAATGTGTGACCATGATAAATGACCAAAATATCCCCACCTCTTCACTTAACTACCAAAATGCCATTACAACCTTAAATGACCATTCCACCCTCATGAATAAAACAAATGACATCCAAGATAATTATTTTTCAATTAAGAAAATAACTCCAAAACCCAAAAATCCCGGCGTGGGACCCACACGAGTGGCTCGGCCCAAAAATCCAAAAACTATCTAAATGATTCCCGAAGCATATCGATACATCCCGGACTCAACAAAACATTCCAGATCATTGTAAAACCTTTGTGACACACAATCACAAGCATGGCACGTAACCCGAGGTAATTAAATAATCACTTATGCGAAAACGAGAAATCCCCGGGAAAAATTGAAAAAGTGATGGACATCGCAAATACTTCGGGCCTCCCTCTTTGGCATGAATATGCCGAAGTTGTATTGGGGTGAGGCAGTGAAATCAGCTACATATTTAATCAACCAAACACCATCTAGTGTGATAGAGTTCCAAACTCCCCAACAAAATATGCAAATCATTGTTTTCCGTTCCTCCTCTCCCGAATCTTGAACCATGAGTATTTGGATGTACGGTCTATATTCACGTGCCTAAAGTCCAGCGGAGTAAACTTGATCCATGTGCGAAACGGTGTGTCTTTGTAGGTTACTCGGAGTTTCAGAAGGGATATTAGTGTTATGATTCTTAAATTCGGAAGTTACATGTGACATTGGATGCTTCATTTCATGAATTTGAACCGTACTATTCAGGGGGTGTCGGTGTCTCTGGGTCTTCTCTTCAGGGTGAGAGTCATAATGAAGAGAATAAATATGGTGGAAATGAATTATTCGAATTGGAGGAAAATGAGGGATGTTTTGAATTGGGTAAGAGTCGAATGATGCAGTCTGTGAGAGCTTCACGCATACAAGAGAAAGGAATGATTGTTAGGTGCCTGAAATAGATTTAAGTTATTGTATACTTTTTCTATATAATGATAAAGTTGTGTTGTCATTTTTTTATTGGTCAGGATGATTGTTTTGTCATGTCAGCATATTAAGTTGAAAAATAAAAGAAACAATGTACTACGCAGTTCAACTTAAGGGCAAAAAGGTCAGTTAATTTTTCTATTAACAGTTGGTTAACAAATTGTCCTATAGTGCAACAATAATATAGTTTAGGAGGTTATTTTTAATTTAATGAGGTTTATTGCAATCGGGTCATAGTTCCGGGGGTTTTTAGTGTACTTAACCCTAAATTTTATATTCTTGTAAAACTATAACAATCTAAGTTACATAAAACACAAAAGGCATAATGCATGTTAGAGATGGTGTCAAAAAAGAACAAGCACCTGTACTTGACTCTTGAAATGGACAACCCCAGTTGATCTGGGATTGAGGGACAAACAGAAAGCTGAATAAAGTTGGGGCCATTTATTTATTATTATTATTTTTTGTTTTTTTACGACCGTCGACCCTCTTAAAACAAAATCTATCACTGGGCACCCCATCCCACATATACAGAGAAAATTTTGGAAGGTGGCCCCGAAGGGATTCGAACACCGGAACATAATTAGCAAGAATAAATATGATTGCAATTTAAGTTTGGTGTCTTTTTTAGTACTGAACTTTCATTGCCATTGCTTCATAATGAAAATGCTTGTATTAACATGCCAAATTATGAAACCTGTATGAACTAATTAGCCATTAATGGTAATTTTCAGACCTGCATACTCCAAGCATTCTTATTGTTTGAACATGAAAATGTAAACCAAACTCAACTAAATTTGGTTTGAAAAACTTCCTTGCAATTCTTTAACATCCCATTGAAACTCTGAGAACTATTTAACAGTTCTAAAAAAAGGAAAAATAAACGCACACACATATATAAAGGCAAAATATACACAGTATAAAGTAGCGTACATGTAGTCTGCTATATGGACAAGAATAAACTTGAGCATATATAAATGTATAACTGTATATATATGTGTGTCCAATCCATGCACAAAAATAAATTTGTGTGCGCGCGTAGGAGGATGTTTACATTGCACTGAGTTTACGTAAACATAAATGTGTGTGCGAGAGACAGAGCGACACAGAGAGAGAGATTATTATCTGTATTATTACACGGTTGCTGTTCTGGAAATACGAGTGTGGTTGAATAGGGTATCAGCCATCTTTCTTAAACAAAATAGTAGTTGTACTTAACCATAGAACCTGCTATTCTCCATGAACCTATTGAATGTCTGCAAGTGCGTCAAGAGGGATAACAGAAAGGAAAAGTCCTTATTTATTAAGAAATGACAACTTTACTATTATCTACGAAGAGGCGTGTATCAATACAGCTCGCATTTTACACTGGAAGGGAAACAAGAGAAAAGGCAGAATTTCGCTTCCCTGATAAAGAGTATGGCTAGAAGTAGCACCTGTTATCTTCTGTTCAACGAAAACTGATAACCAGGCACATCGTGCACGAACAGAGCCAAAAGACATTGACGGCTGAAGTTAGTCGTCCAGGCTGGTTTTCTCCTGTCCATCATCAGCAAGAAGTTTCTGCTTATCGTCCTTTACTCTTCTATGAGTGGTAGGGGCCCTTCGGGGGCCTGGGACAGGACGAGATTGAGGATCATATGGTTGGGAGGCGAGGTAATTTAAAGCAGTGACAACATCAGCTGCTTGAGGGCGCATGGTAGGTTGTTCCTGGACGCACAATGCAGCAATGGCAATAGCTTGATACAAGCCTCTCACCGGATACTGACTTTGGAGTGCTGGATCAGCCATCTGTAAGAAATTCTTCCGGTCTTTGAACAGAGGTCGTGCCTGCAAACAGTTGCATTTAGATGTGCCTGAATAAGCCCAACAGAAAATTCTTTTACACTTTACTACGTCTCACTCTTAATGTAGCAATTTGTGGAGTAACATATATTCAGTATAGAGATTCTTTCCACTTACCAAGCTTCGTAATTCAAAAGTTCCTATATCGTAATAATGCAAAAAAAAAAAAAAAAAAAAAAAAAAAAAAAAAAAAAGGAAAAAAAAAAAGAAGAAGAAGAAGTTCTTATATCGTAATGGTGATATAATTATATTAAGAGAAACAGAAAATGAACCTCATAGATAATTACTAAACCAATACAAATATGAATTTCACCACCTAACCAATGCAGTAGAATTTTTTTTATGTAAGTTAAGACAATAAGCTCCACAATAAGATGGACAAATTAAAGACAAATTAAAGTTTAGAGCGGAATGAAAATATAGGAGTCATGTAGCCAACCCCAAATAGTTGGCAAAAAGGCTTGGTTGTTGTTGTTGTGGAAAAGCGCTGTTTCATTTCTAAACCCCAAAAAAGGGAAAAGCACATTTCACTCAAACTGGTGAGCAATTTAAGCTGTAAACCAAGGTTTGAGTTGTTCAATACAAAAGACATTGAAGAGATCAGCTTGTTTCTACACAATGTGAAGGTAAACTAAAGAAATCGATAGGCAAGAAGTATATGACAGTTTGGAATTGAACCTTGTTCAAGGCTCAAGATTTACAATCATTCGATTCTGGCTGCTCCAAGTGATACTAAATAACAGAATGATAATTAAATATCTGGAAAATGTCATTTGAAACTTGCATATAAGTTCCAACATTTTTCAATCTTCAAGGAAACTATAGGGTATGATTGATGACAAGAAGTTTCTTTTTTATTTTATTTTATTATTTTTTTAGGGGTTGGTTAGTGGGTACTATGGGAGTTGTTTTTAGTGTCTTGAATTTTTCTAAAGCTCTTATTGTTTTAAAAAATAGGGATAACTCACCATAGGTTTTGTTCTATAATAGTTTCCAAGCACCTGAAACTCTGAATATACACAAACTTGATCATGTGTGAATTTTAATGTAGCAGTAAATAATAAAAATGTGACAGAGAAAATTACTTAAAAAAAGGCAAACTCAGTGCACGAGACTCCCGCCATTGTAGGATCTGGGAAGGGTCAGATGTATCACATATGATGATATCTCACTAATACTATCAGAGAAAATTACTATTGAGATGAAAACAATGAAAATCCACATCTTCTATTAGTATTGGTGAGATATCATCATACGTGATACCGATCTGATCCACAATTGAAAATTTGTTCTATGTTCACCATTCTCCTTAATTTTCTTCTACTTTCTTCAACTGGTTTAATTGATTAAGTATTGAATTTCACATTTCATTTTCTTCTCCTTGAGATACCTTTTCTCCTTTTATTAATCAACCCAAAGATATTTTCCAATACCACCATTTACAATTAAGAGAGAGTATTAAAAGTAAGGTAATATTTCTTCAATCAAAAAAAAAAAACCCTTTAGCGTCAATAGAAAGCAATGTGTGTGTGTGTGTGTGTGTGTGAAAGATTAATTATAGTGCAGAAAATATAAACCAAAAGAAAAGATAAACAATTTGAGTACGCAATATAATGAGAAGAAAGAGTACAATTATACAATATGCTCTAAATTAACAAGGATAAACAAATTGATGTTGCAATTCGAGACAAAAAGTAGCGTAAAGCAATTAGTAGGCTTACAACTACAGAAAATAGGCCTATGCATCAGTAATATTCCTGTATGTAGCCAAGAATAGTAAAGTGGCTCATAGGAGTTGAAGTTCATGTACGTAAATGATGACAATATTTCCAAACAGTACTAATGAAACTAATGAATGGTGGCCCCATATTGCAATAGTTGAAATTAAAAAGCATGTCATTAGTTTCAAACATACCACTGGAGCAAAAAGAAAAAGAAAAAACCACGAGGTTGATGTCAACACCAAAACAATTGGTACAGATTCTTCGATGTTTTACATGTGGCTCTTCATTCTCTAATCAACCTAGACTGCCAATTACTCTAGCCATCTTGGATGACCCATAATGCAAAAGATGTCATCTTCTAAGTTGATCAATTCAAGTTGTCCATCAACTCCTCAGACAGGCCACAAAACAAAGGTGGTTCCAAATAATGAAGACCGATTCTTTCAAACATTAATTTTTAACTGAGTGTTTATTTTTAGATTGATAAAATAATATTCCACAGGCGTGCATATTACTTAATTAGCACACAAATCTTTCCACAAGTATAAACAAAATCTCGTACATGAATAGTCTGCAAAGATATTAACAGGAGCGAGTAGGGAAGCAGAAGTATCTTACCCATGAAACCAGATTCTGCTCGGCAGAGGATCTTGATAAATCGATTGCTCTCCTGCCGGTGATGATCTCCAAAAGAACAACCCCAAAGCTGTAAATATCTGATTTAAATGTTAGCTGACCGGTCATTGCATAATCCGGGGCACAGTAACCGTATGTGCCCATTACTCTAGTGGAAACATGGGTCTTATCTCCTTCAGGACCAACTTTGGCCAAGCCAAAATCAGATAGCTTGGGATGATAGCCCTCGTCAAGCAGAATGTTTGAGCATTTCAAATCGCGGTATATAATAGGGGGCTTTATCTTGTTATGTAAATACTCTAAACCCCTTGCTGCACCAGCTGCTATCTTCATTCTAGTATTCCAATCAAGTTGTTTCCTGTCAGGTCGAAAGCCTGTGCAAGGGAAAATGCATACCAAAACAAAGAAAAGACAAAAAAAAAAAAAAATTAGATGACGGTGCAAATGGTAAACAATCAAGACATGGCGAAAAACGAGAGTCGAGTTTCTGATACATGGCATACCATGCAAATGGTCTTCCAAAGATCCCAACGGCATGTACTCGTAGACCAACAGCCTCTGATCCCCCTCGGCACAATAACCAATTAACTTGACTAGATTAATGTGGTCACACTGACCTAATGTAGATACTTCAACAATGAATTCCCGAATCCCTTGTGAACCATGATGATTGAGTTGCTTGATAGCTACAACCTGCTAAAGGAAACCAGAAATTACTAAGGTGTGCCACCAGCATAGTACAAAGATTTAGAGCTTGACAAGACAGTCTACGAAGAGCTCATAAAGGCGATATTATCGCAAGAAAAAACATTAACATTCAAAAAGATAAACTAGGGCAATGATAATCTAGCTACTTGCAGGTTCAAAATTCCGTATAAATGATAAATGATATCAGATGAATTCAACCAACCTGACCGCCATCCACCAATACTCCTTTGTAAACCTTACCAAAACCTCCCTCACCCAAAAAGTGCTCTGATTTAAAATTCTCCGTCGCAGCCACCAATTGATAATAAGTAAATGTTTCTGCCTTAATGCCATCAGTCACTCCATCCTCCTCCACATCTGATTCCTTGCTGTCCATATGCGGCTTATTCACAAATTTAGGGTCGTTCTTCACCCTGAACTCCTCATCATTTTTAGAGGGATGCGCTTTTAATATATCTAAATCAGACAACACAAACAACCAAAACACGTGAGAGAGAGAGAGAGAGAGAGCACCATTGAAAGAACAAAAAAGACATAAAGAACACATGGTGAAAGCCAAAAAAAAAAATTTGATTCCAATATGATTGACGTAAAAAGAACATGGTGACTAAAAGCCAATAAAAGTGATTCCAATATGATTCTCACAATTCACTAAAAGTGCAATATCAAGATAACTGAAGTTATTACAGATTGGAAACAAATATTAATCCGTATAATTTAAAAACAAACAAAGAACACACAAAGGAAAAAATAAAATATGCATACCCATAAAAAATAAATTAAATTTGCTCAAAATTCTATGGCTTTACAGAGTCACCCAGCACCACATAATTCTTAAAAGCACCATAACTTGAGCACCATAACTTTTAACCCATATCACTCAAATCCATGGAAACATATCAAAATTTAGACTCCCAAATCTGAGTTTGAAATGAAGAAAAAAAAAAAATCAGCTTGATTATAAAGCCGGGCTAGAGAAACAGATGGATGGATGATGATTGATGAACTTTTTGCAAAAAAATTAAACAGAAAACATTACATGGGAATTCACATAACACCACAAGAACAAAGGCTAAAGGCAAACCCAACTAAAATGAGATAATATAAAATAAAAACAAAAACACAAAAATCAGAAAAATAATAACCAATCTTTTGGAAAGTTTGCGGATGAACAAGAGATGCATACACAATATTTCAAAGAAATTGATTTCTTTTTGTTCAATTTAAACGATTTCATTCAAAATAATGCATGAAAAAAAATAATAATAATAAATAAAATAAAATAAAATAAATAAAAGACCCAGGTGACATTTTTTTCAAGAATTTTATAGATTGAATGCTGTTCTTGTTTATGAAAAATATATATATGTATGATCATTACATTTCTAAAGATTGTACCTGCGATGGGTGTTTGATAGTCTCGTTCATTCCCATTGTTGAATATATTGCTATAGCCCTTCTTCTTCACAAGATGTTTGTCAGGATCACCGGTGCATGAAAAACAACCCATGCCTCCCCCTCTCTCTCTCTCCTCTCTCCTCTCCTCTCCTCTCCTCTCCTCTCTCTCTCTCTCTCTCTCTCTCTCTCTCTCCCCCAATGTATATGTGGGCGCCGTCTATATATGTTTATAAATAATTATCCTCTCTCGGCTCCAGAGAAACAGAGCGCCCAAAACAATATACATGACTCAGAAAGAAGGGGGGGGGGGGGGGGGGGGGGGGGGGGGTTGGAGACGGAGACAAAAGTTAGAAAATGAATTTGGTATTTTTGTTCGGCACATTAGCTAAAAGGGGAGTTTAAATATGCTTATCAATTAACGCGATATTTATGACGTGAAATGTAAGACTGGTGTCCAATTATTTTGGAAATGTTTTGTCTTTCTATTTCTAAACCATGCTAGTATCACAGCTTTGGCACCAAGTTCTGATCACAGATCAAATTTTACAACAAAAATAAGAGAACTAAGGTTATAAATTCTACATATTTTTTTGGGACTCATTATATGCATGAATATATATTGCTAGGATAATTGTATATGCACCTGGTGTTTTTGTTGAGACACAAGGTGAGCCGGCAATGGTCATTCAACGAATTAGAGCCTACTAATCAACACGGTGATATAAAAGCTTTTTCAAAATGACAAAATTGGATTTTTGGAGCATCTCATCAGCTAGTTTAGTTGACCACACAACTCCGTTTCGAATTTGGTCAAAGAGTTTTTGAATAAATATTTAAAAAAAGAACCACGATATATAGGCAGAAAAAATTGGCCCAATACTCCAATCGAGTCCATGTAAATGCATCAATGTTAGATCAATGGGAGTCATTTGTGTCCATGTGATGCATTAATGTGGGACCAACATTCATGCAACCAAAGACTGCCTAGGAATCATTTTCCCTAAAAATAAAATAAAAAGAAACATGGGTCCCACATGAATGCAACACAACACATGGTACGGTCTTGGTATCGTTTTCCTAGAAAAAAGAAGCGTTTTTCGTTAAGTTAGAAAGCAGCAGTTATACACATATATCATGTTTTCCTCTGAGAGCAGGGTAAATTCATGCTCCATATTTGGTTCTGATTAATGTTCCAGTGACAACATTCTATAGAATTAATCACCTAAACTTCCTCTTTTCAACAAAAGAGATCAAACAAGAAATCTCTGAGAGAAAATTCAAGAAAAATGACACGACATGACGGTTTTTATCGCAAGAGGAAGATGACAACCTTCTGATGGAGTCGAGAAAAGTTTACAACCATAACAAAAATCTATGGCATCTTTATAAGTTTACACATGATTAAGGATTTCACTATTACTAACATTAGCACAACTTATAACCACATACATAGCTAGTTTTAATCTCATGTACACATATCCAGATGCACCGTTAGGCACATGGATGAGCAGACCTGAAGTTCAGCTCCTCTTATTATACATCAACAGGAGAATTACCCTCCCGCGCAATGTTATCCTGCCCGTCTTTTCCCACTTTGTCATTTGACCTGGGAAACAAGATACAAGTAAGATATAACTCTGTTGAATTCTTCCAAAATACAAATAGAAATTACAAATACGGATAAATCTGCAATGCAGTGTTTGTCGTCATACACTATTTGTCGCACAAATTGTCCCCGGACACGAGGCCTTTGTTCTGCTAGCCTTTTCCTACTCTGGTATCGGACCTGGAAAAAAAAAAAAAAAAACAGACACAAGGACTTAGTCCTGTTGAACTCTTCAATTCTGTAAAGAAAGAATAAAAACAGGAACACAGAATAAAAATTGATTAGAACAAGTCTTAATTTAAGAACATTAGTAGACCAAAGCCTGCTGAGGCGGTTGAAATCATATGGTTCATTTGGTTGAGCAGCAAGCATAGATTGTTAGACAACAAATAACTTAGTTTAACAGCCTAATAACGTCATTTCCTCCGGAGTTCAGTACTATCATGTGGCTGGTTTCAATCAAAACAGCAGACAGTTTATCTGTGGGGGGCAGGCCAAAGCAGCTAAATGTTAATCAGAATAAATATTATATTTTACAACACAATCTGTAGAGCTATCGAGAATGGAATGCAGAGAGAAAGAAAATGCGTGCCAAAGATATAGCATGTTGGGGACTCTATAGCCATACATACTAGATGTCGTTGCCAATGACCAGTTGATAAGAGGAATTTGGGGGATTCCAAATTGGTCTTAGTGTGAGATGTTGGAAGTTCAATCCATTCATGTAGCCTAAGATCTGTGCGACCAGTGTATATATGATCCGAAGTGTTACTCACATAATTGCATCTAACACTTCTTTTGCATCCGTAACACCCAAATGGATTCTCTACCATCACATTGCTGTAGTTATTAGTTGGAGGGCAGAAGAGATGTGTTCTATTCAATTTTTATTTTCTTGGGTCAGTAGATGAGTAAAATAGTAACTCCTAGTAGGATTGAGGGTGACTTTCAATAATTATCCCTTATTTTGTGCCGCAAATACCCATCCAGCAAAGGACATTCTTTCCAACAGAAGAATGATCAAGAATCTATAAGCTGGATAAGTGCAGCACCGAATTTTTTTGGATCTACGAAGGCAACTAGAAGTGAGGTAAACTGAGTATCAGACTATCAGTTCGTTTCTTCTTTAGCAAGAACAAACACACCTAAAAAATCTAGGTACCTTTTTCTCAAAACATCTCTCTTTCCTTTTCTGACGGAATTTTGTCAAGGCAGCTGCTCTCTGTGCATGTCGATCTTCATCAGCTCCATTCCCACCACTCCCACTAATGCCAACAACTCCACTGTCTCCAGCAACCCCATTGTCAATTTCTATGTTTGTGGCTCCAGCATTGCTGCTTCTGTTCTGTCCGTTGCTTCCATGGTTACTCCCTGAAGCACTCCCATTTACACTGTAATTTCCAGCAGCATCTTCAATGGGCTCTCCAAGCATATTTGATGATCCACATTGTGGAACAGTTGCTGCCATCTTCTCCAGCGACAGATCATCATGGTCTGACTGTGGCTCATGCGGTATGTTGTGGATGTGGTGGTGATGGTGGTGATGGTGATGATGGCAATGCTGCACTTGGACCCGATTGTTCCCTCTTGCTTGTACTTGCTCTGTGCTGACTGACACATCAACTGCCTTCCCAGGTACTGATTTTGGTGCACAAGCATGACCATACTGCACCTTTTGGAACCCAGAAGAGCACAAACTTTTGAATGCCGATATGGATTCTGACTTGTCATCGAAAGCTTCAGGCTTGGGGACGCATTTAGTGGTGGAGGCCATATCATTGTTGTTTGTACTCTCATTAGACTGCTGATTGGGAGGTGTGCAATTAGAATTGTGCATTTTTTCTCTCTTCATTGTGACTGAGCTTTTGTCCAGAGGAGAATGGCTTCCTACCTTCCCTGGGGAAGCCTGCGAAACAATAGAGATAATATTAACCTCCACAGCAAAAGGGTCTAGCTCCTCTACAACTGGTGTCTAATCGCCATTACGTGTTACCAATCACCATAAGCCACGTCAAGATACACAAGGATGAAGCTGCAATTTCACAAAAAAAAAAAAGAAAAGAGGAGAGAGAAGCACTTTCCATTCATCTCGGTACTCCTTTTTCTGTCAAAATGATAGCATTGCCCCCCTCACATTGTGATGTGTGCACACTCAATTTTAACATGCTGGAAGTTGCACCAATTGAGGAGGAGTTGCACCCCAACAATAAAAATTACCTGTGGTATGAGGTCTAAAGAGTACCTGATTAGCAGAAAAAGTGGTGCTGTATCTGCATTGTTAGGAAAAAAAAAATCTAAGGTCACTTTATACATGCATCACGCAACAGATACTTTTTAAGTTCACAAGTTTTCCTCTTACTTCGAAAAAGCTGACAGGTTTGAATGTCTCAAGATATTATTGTTGTCATGCACACTGGTGCCAACATCTACTCCTCTCAGCCTATCTAGAGTTAGCTCAAGAGATGGCAATTCTCTTGAATCACTGCCAGCTTTATCTTTGATTTGTGAGGTATCAGAAAACCCACTGGGAGCATCAATAGCTCGGTAGATACAACTGCCAACGGAACTAATTAGATTTGCAGCATTGTCGCTTAGTTTGCCACAAATATTGTCACTTCTGATTTCCAGCTGTTCTTTCTTCAACTGCTTACTGTCTAGGTCAGACAATTTCTCCCGACTTTTGCTGCCAGGTTGAGAAAACTTATGCTGGTACTCAAGTTGTGAATCTGGGTCTCTAGATATGCCTATTTCCAAGTCTTTGCCCATTGCAACATTGTCTTTTAAAATGAACACGAGTTAGAACCATAGAAAATCCAAACATAAATACTGCAGATAAGCCATAAGTAAATGGATTCTTTTATAAGCCATAAAAGAGTGGATGTTTTTTAGGCTCACCAAGTTGTTCATCCTGTTCTGCACACTCTTTTGTTTCTGTAACATGCACCCACCTGCTGCTAAATGTTTCAAGCTTTGTATGAATGACTTGGGCACAAGTGCTATCAGGAGCATCAGCCAATTGATCCCATTGTGATGTGGGCTGGCGGCTTTCAACTTCAGCTGCTCGTTTGGTCCAAGAACTCTGCAAATAGTAGCATTCCGGGATTTCTTTTGTTAATTTTTTAGCAGGCAATTAAGATTATGTTTCTTCATGTTTATTCCAAGCTTCTAAGATTTTTGAATCTTTTTTTTATTTTGAGACTAATGTACTGATATGAATGACAATATTAGACAAAATAATAGTGGCAAATATTAGAATTCACTACCTATGACAAAATATATGAAAGCTGATTAAAAATCGGATCACAAAATAGTTCTAAGTTCAAATGTTGCTCAATAAGATGGATTCTTAATCATTCTCAGTAATACTTTATTAAGGAAAATTGCTATCTCCCCTCAGTCCCAGCTAATTGTTTTAAGTTCAAATGTTGCTCAAGAAGTTTCTCTTCTTTGTTTTTTTGACTAAATAATGGGGAATAATATTGTGTTACATACACAATGCTTTAAAGCGAAAAAAAACTCGCTTTATTGTTTTTATTATCTTGATGTATGCCTTTCTAAATAGATGTCCTCTGGTTATCACATCAACTCACATGCAGAGATATGAACCCATATTCAGTAGCTATTTACTGTTACCTGGACAACCTCTATTTACTTCTTTACTGGGAAGTAGTAGCTTTATTTCAGCTATACCAAAAGAAAGTTTCATAGTTTGGGAACCAGAGCAAAAGGGAGTACACTGAAACATAAAATATGATGGGACGCAAACAGCATGTTAGCCAATGGCAAGGTAGGAGATAAAACCAGAAAATTCTAGAAGGATCAGCAGAAAGTTCCATTGACATTTGACAAGGAAAAAGTTGGTTCAAGAAGAAGCCCAATTCTCTCTGCCACGTACTAACCCAAAAAATTCCGTATCGTATGTAGAATGGAGATAAGTTTGAGAAAAAGGCATTACTCAGTATGTCAATCAAGGATTCCAGGAAGGGAAAACTAGGTATAGACCTAACTTTGGCATAATTTGAGAAAATAGCTGCTAAGATTTGAACCTGCGTTCTCACACTTGACAACCTTAGATTTTACTACCACTACACCAAGCAATGAAAGTCTACTCGAGATAATTTAAATAGAATGGAGAACTAAATGCTATTATGCTCATAAGTAGAAGGAATAACTTCAAGTTCATCCAAATTTATGTTAATGTTAGAATGAGAATAATTACATTAATCCGCTTGAGGTTTAAAAAATATAACTCAATAATGAGACTACGAACTCTAAGAAGCAACCAACTTTCAAGAAGAGATCCCTGGGCTTTCTTCAGATGGAGAAGATATTGGGAGATCCGGGCATACCATGTCATTGGTATGCCCAACCAATGAACATGCACCATTTTAGTTTGTTAAGAGCATGTATTATTTGTAGGTGGGACCAGTTTAATTGATTTGCGCATGTTCATTGGCTGGGCATACCAATGACATGGCATGCCCGGCTCACCCAATATCTTTTCCTTCAGATGATATTGCATTCTGCTTTGGAACGGGCAAGTGGCATGGCTGCTCAAGGATGCGCTTGACAAGGTTGTGATAGCAGCTAGCCAATATAAGGTCCTTGAGAGGGAAAAAGCTCCACTTTAATTTGCTTTTGCTGAATTCTTTAGGGTGTATAGAGGTTGTAAATCATGAACTGTACAAAGTCTATGACTAGTTTGAAAGGAGGCTATGTCAATAAGGTCAAAAAGCAACTCTACATGCATTGACTGAACTAATGCAAAGATATGAGAATAAAACCAATAAATAAATAAAACAGCACATTCTCATCATGTATCCTTCTTTCACATTAATAACTACTTTCAGTGGACACCTTCTTTTTCCTTATATTTTAACCTTCAATTATAACAATGTTCTTGCCCATTAAAGAGGCGTTTCCATCACAAATTTACCTAGTAATAAAATATGACATTTAGCTTGAAGTGACATTTTCACATCATATAAACATGTTGGAAATTAAACTGACCACAAATTATTGGATCTCTGAATGTTAGCACAAGCAAGGTAAATACGTGAGTAAAATCAAATGATTAATTTACTCTGGGTTTGCTCATTTTGAATTAAAAAATAGAACTCAAGGAGGCAAAGCAGTGGTATGCAATTTTTTTACTATAACCACGTGTTTTTGCAAAACAAGTCCAAAACTAATATTTCGATTCATGAGTAAATTCTGAAAACTCAAAAACCAAAAAAAAAAAAAAAAAAAGACGGAAAAAAATACTGTCAGACCCAACTGGTTTGACAATAGGTTAAAAATTATACATAGCAAGTTGAGCACGGGTTCTGAAATCAATAATGAGAGAGGAAATCTAAGCATAATCAATGATCTTATGCAGAACACGCACCTCTAGTTGAATTCACAATCTGCTAGTCATTGAAAAATATCAGGTAGAAGGCATACATTAAACAAGTGTAGCAATGTCACTTGAAAGGATATTGTTACCTGAGTGCCACTTCCATTGTCACTTCCATCCCGAATACTCAGACTGATACTCCCATTATCAGGCCCATCACTGCTACCAGTATTTTTTTCAGACTCGGCATTACTTTTTGGCTTTGCATATTTTTTAGTCTGTGTGCCACTCTCACTCCCACTACCACTTGACTTCCCACTACCACTTGACTGAGAAAGGATGAGGAAAATTAATCCAATGCTTATGGAGTTTCAATATTAGTTCTCCCAATCAAGAAAATGGTTAAACTGATCAAATATAAGATATGAGATCACAAAAAGGTACCAGCAAATATATCAAGGGCTAACTTAACAAACAAGCCCATTAGAGTTCCCCAGTACATATATTATTGACCTGAGGTGAATATCTATAATTGGCTCATCACAAATATACACATGCATAAAGTAGAAGAAAGGTATAGCCAACTAACACTGTGACATCTCCTCCATACGTGCTGCCATAGGTTTTTAAGCTCATTTTTCCGAATCGGTTTCACAAGAAAGTCAACTGCACCCTTTGACAGACAGTTAAAGGCTACATTCATGGAATCATGAGATGACATCACTGCACACAAAGCCCATCATGTGTGTTTGTTAAAAGCAACGAATCAGAACAAATAATGGAAAAATATGCATTACATTTCCAAGGAAACAAATATAGGAACACTAAAACAGACTTACTAATCACTGGAATATTCTTGAAAGTTTTGTGACTCATTATCTTGCATAAGAGGCCAAATCCCGATAAAGAAGGCACGACTACCTCAGTTAGGACGAGATCAATATGATTGGTCAAATCTTCTAAGATATTCCATGCTTGCAGACCGCTTGCAACAGCAGTAACTGCCAAGATCGGAAAGAAGATTATAAATGCATAAAGGAAAGGAGGATAGTACAAATAGGAGTTATGTTCATAGACAGTTACACAGTAAAACAAAAACTGTACAATTTCTAAGTATTACAGCTTTTAAATTTAAAGCTTCTATATCACAACACAAAACTTAATAAATGCTAACAAGTACAATTGAATCGCTAAGGAATACAACTCTAGCAAAATTCAGTTTATCCTTTTTGGTCATTCCCAAATCCAACAATTTGATCTTCTGGAGCAAGTGGTGCCCTATCAGGGTATCTCCACGTGCAAGAAGGGGGTCAAATGTGACCAAGGGTGCAAAAGTTAGAGATTATTAGACCCATAGTTCAACTTCCAAGTTCCAACCCATAAATCATTACTATATAAATCACTTTCAAAAACCTTTGATGTTACATAAAGCAGCAAGCATTAACTCAAAATTATTTTACTCACGCCATATGTGCTTAAGATTGAACTCTTGACACGAGGGTCACTCTCTGCATAGAACATTGGTATGTCATGCAATTATTAATTACATACAACTGCAACAAGTGTCAACGTTAACATGAATGCATATAAATATATTCACCCCTATTTACTTCAAAAGCATATAAGCAATGTACTTACTAAGAAAAAGAAAATGTTTTATCCCTTGGCCCATCCAGCCTACTGCCTCCCCATAAAGGGAGTCCATGTATCAAATCTCATAACTTGGCCAACTATTGTGTCCACAGCAATGGGAGACACTCATACTCCACATATTGTGGATTTAGAAAGTTTAGGATTAAAGGCTTCAAACCTTTTGAGATTCAATTTTTTTGTTTTTTCAGTTAACAAAGACCCCATTCAAAAAATAAATTTTTTTTCAAAATGATGGGATACTCGAAGCCTTTTGAATCTGGTCGATTACATAGTACTTCATTAATTAATTTCTAATTGATAAGATAACCATTTCAAATCTTGATGGGATAATCATTTTGAACCGTCACCTAAAAGAACACACAATTTATTGTATCACCTCTTGTAATGCTCATGAAGAAATTTTTCTTTGTCTTAGAGTTTGTAAAATTTAGTACAAGAGTAGTGAAAATTATTTTATAGATCATTAAATTTGTAAGTAATTTTCCTTTAGAAGTTTTTTTTCTATAAAATCCAATTTTTAAAGTAAGACTAAAAGAAGCTAGCTGAATTCTTTAGCATATTCTCAGAAAAAAAAAAAAAATATATATATATATATATATAGTACTTTTATTCTTTATAATTTTCATGGCCTTTTAGTACTACCAGACTACAGCGGCCATCACTTCTTGCCTGTCCAAGTGCTTTCCTAACTACTCTGCAACATCTTAATAACACTTGAGACCGAGGTGAACAAAGGCTAAAGGCTCTTCGAGGTGTAGTACTCAGGTTGCTTTAAAAGAAGCTGAGTAGCACTTCACCCAGATGCAAGTGCTCTAGCAAAGAGGTGTGTGTGTGTGTGTGTGTATATATATATATCATTACAGTGTTACCAATTATTGGCCGAATTTCATGTTACAAGCTTTCCAATGGTGCTTCCATCGGAATAAAATGATGTTGTTCCAATTGCATAGAGGAATAAAGTGAAGCAACTCATTTCTGTACAACATCCAAATGCAACCAAAAGAGGGGATATAGATGGTTTTCATGTAAGAAGTATATAGAAAGTGAACCTAAAAAGAGAAATCAACTTTAAGGATTAATAACAATCAAAAGAATCGTGGTTCATAGAACAATTTTCATTAAATACATGTATGCAATTATATACGAGTAGTTGTTTACACACGATCCAGATCAATCGTTACATCAAAATATATTACTAACCTTCATAACTGCAGTTCCGAAGCAAAGCACTAACAACATGACGAGTACAATCATCATTTTCTACCAACAGAACTTTCAATGACCTAATAGGAAGAAACCTCTCCCAATGTATCACGGGACCTTGAGGTTGCGGTTTTTGCAGAGCAGCCGGGACATGAATCGCCCCTTCTGATCCATTGTTTACTTCTCCTACTACATCATTAATCCTAAACTCGGTTTCCTCAGATGAACCTAAGCCTTGCACCTCACCTACAGTAACATCCCTAATTTCCTTTTGCTCGTCCCATGAACTATTATTTCGTTCAATCAAATTTCGGTTGCTTGCACCATTATTCTTCATTGGAACAGCTCCTATTATCCACATCCAAAAAGACTGAAGAAGAGGAATGCACAAAATTGAGCATACATCTTTCTGTCTTCAGAAGTCAGCCTCTGCAACACAAATCCTTCAAACAAATTCCAAACCCAATAAACATAGTGAGTAAACATTCAGCAACGAAACCTTCCAACAAAAAAAAAACATTCAACAAGGCAGATCCAAGAGAAACATAAACACAGCTCGTATTATTCAACACTTCAATCGTCATAATACACTCAAAAACAGCTCAACAAAACACTAGACCCCTATAACAAAAACCTAAAACATAATTAAGACAACTGATTATAACCTAAGCCCTATAATTACTCAAATCAAATAGAACACAAGCGCAAGAGAAAAGGTGAAGCAACTCAAAATTACCCATCCATTACAAAAAAATAAATAAATAAATCACCATAAAACGAAGAAACGTATATACATACACATGGATATTGCAGTCAAGAAGTAAAGCTTTTCCATAAACAAAATTCCATATTTATGAAAAATTAAATTGTGTGTATATATATATATATATATATATATATATGTATGTATATCTACAATTAAAAAAAAATGAAGGTACAGAACTACAGATATATATTTTTTATTTTGTTAAGGGAACTAAATCTAAATATTTCCAAGCACCAGAAAATTTATAAAAAATAATAATAATAATCAAACTACCTGAAGAAGTAAATCAATTGTGTATTTGAGTACAGGATAGATATATTATATACACAATTACATATGCTTATATACATAGATATTTACACAAGCAAATCCATATATATATATATATATATATATATATAGAGAGAGAGAGAGAGAGAGATTTAATGAGTGCGTAATTAATTACAGATCTGAATCCGAGCAAATAAACCTTCAGAGCTTAATCAATGGAGACCAGGCCTGAATTAAGCTCGATTGAGTATGAAAACAACAAATCAGAACCATTGATTTGTGAGATCAAGACCTTCAGAGCATAGTATTTAACACCGATATATGAGTCAAAATAGATTCAAACTTTCTTCGTCCATTCAAAAAACATAGCAGAAAAAAGCTTGACTGGTTGAGAAATTGCGAAGCTAAAAGGTTAGAGAGAGACAGAAAGCAGAGTTTAGAGAGAGAGAGAGAGAGAGCAGAGAGTACAGAGAGGGGAAAAAGATTTTTTTGGGGGAAGGTTGGTGACGTGTAACAAATGGAGGTCCGGAGAGTGTCTGAGTCCGCGTGGGATGAGAATCTGACATGGAAACATGGGAGCCACTTGATTGTCCGAGCTGGACAAAATCAAAAGCCGAAAGGTCCGAGTTTGTGCGGCGAATCTAAAGTACCATCCTCAGATCTAGAGGTGGCCACGTGTCGTAACGCACGCACATCGGGGTAGAAAACCCTAGGGATCTGAATGAGACGCCGTCAACTAATCCGTTAGATGTGCTCCTACAAGGCTTCGAATGACAGAAGCACCCCTGTTACTCTTTTTGGATAAGAACAAGTGCTATTCACGAATCATGTTTATCCGTTTCTTTTTTCCTAAACCATAAAATCGCCCCGTCACGCGACACACAAAATCAAAACTGTTCCCCGCTATCCAGCCAACGCAAACAATCCCATCGCATTTGCTTTAATATCAACACGTTATATTTTACCAATTTTTGTAAAACCCACTAATTTTTTATAACAAAATTCATCATTTAATGTGATAAAAATTAAAGCACAGAAAGTGCGTAAATATAAAAATACCTTGCATTGAAGAAAATTTTATGCTGCTTGACATGACATGACATAAATTTGAGTTCTCAACATTAGACTTTTTATTTGACAAAAGTAATTTGGTAAAAGTTTGACGATAAAAATTTGAATTGATAAATTTTTAAATAAAAATAAAAAATAAAAAAAAAAAATTGAATTGATGAATATCATAACGTGATTCAAGTCTTACTATAATCACTTTTGTAAATATTATGCTAAATATTAAATTTTTCAGCAATCTAATCCTTCTAACACTATGTATCAAATTTTTTTTTTTTTTTTTTTTTTTGGTGTGTCAAATACAAATACACACCGATTTAGGTAGGCACTTAATTTGTTACTCATAAAACAAAAAAACGGTTTCAATGAATTCTAAAATATTGTTTTATAAAAAAGATTTATTTGTAATGATCTTATAGCACTTTATAATTTGCAATAACATGCCAGTTCCAATATATCACCCCTCTATTCTTTCTTTCCATGGCCTATCAACCATTTATGATATTCAATATCAATTTGCCTCATACACGCACTATTTACTATTATGCTTCTTTTAACTAAATGATTCTCTGACAAAAGGCTGTCATCTTCTAAAATAGTAGAAGATTTAAAGTCATATGCATATTCAAAATGAGTGTATGAATTTCTTGCTTAGATTAAATTCAGTGAAATCCAATGCATCACAATCTTCTGAAGAAACTTTCTTTTTCATTACATTTTGGGCAACACAAGTTCCATTCAATCTTCTCTGACCGAACCACATCGCTTTACTCATACAAGTCTCTGTTGTTTTTTGCTTTGTGAGAGATTTTGATGATGGCAATGTTGTGTTTGAAAGAGTATTGAATTGTTGGGATTTCCCATTCCAAATCCGACTCGATCCGGTTACATGGGAAAAGCAAAGAAGGAAAAGAAATGAATATTTTCTATTAAAAAAAAACATTCTTAGAGTTTGGATGGAAAAATAAATAAATATTGAGAGAAGACAGGTTCATGAAATATAAGAAATTAGATGGGTCAAGTTTGCTACGGGTAGTTGTCCTATACACACAATTACAGTAAATGTTAACACCAGCCGTTTCGTTTGGATTTGGGATCAACTAAATTTCTTCCGATCCCAAATCCAAAGTACCCATCCGCAAACACAACATAAAAACATGTCAATAAAATGAGTGAGAGAGACAAGCTAAATCCATCCCTCCTCTCCCACCCACACACATGTAACAGCAACCAAATGAAACTGCAATATGCACCAGAATCAATACTTTTTGACCATTTTTTATCTCTCTGTTTTCAGCCTTTATATTAATAAAACTGGATTCAGAATATACAAACCAAAATGGAAAAAGGAGGCTAGGAGAATAACCTTCTTTTTTGCATACATATTCTCGATGGGACCGGATTCTCGAAGAGTGAATCCAGTAGCTCCCCCACCCCTTCTCAACAGTTGATACAAGGGAGAACCTATCTCCCTGATCACTCTTGCTTTATATGAAAACCATACTACATATTATACAATTACTAACCTTAAAATCCACAAACCACAACACTCTATCAAGGCATCAACTGAGCAACATAAGCAAAGGATAAATATTGGTGTGACTACTCCATCATATCCGGGTTATATTTCAGTGCCTCCCTCCATATGAGGTCCTTTATATCCTCTTCACTCAAATATGATTGTTCGAAATCAAAGTTGAAAGGAGATGGGCAAGTGGGTTCCTCATTGATCTCGTGGAGACTCGACAAAAATGGATGATTCAATGCTTCCTCAACTTCAAACATATCATTTGAAAATAAGAAAATACATATATATACACATCAGAAAAAAGATGGCCTGAATGAAACGGTAAAATGTTTGAGCAATTACAAATAGTAAGAGGCATACCAGTTATGCGCTTCGATGGATCAAAAACTAGCATTTTCTCTGCAAGATCAATGGCTATTGGGTACACATCTGGGAACTTCTTTGAGAAGGGTTGCTTTGGGACATGAGGGAGCTGCTTGACATACTTTCGAGCATTATCACTCCTTAGGAATCCAAGATCTGATTCTTCGGGTGAACCCAATAGCTGATTCAGGCAATAATCATGAAATAAACAAACAATCAATTCATAACATTTATACGTAAACCCATTTCAGACCTGCAACTTTTGTTGTTGTATATTAGAGGAGAGATGGCTTATAATAGAAAAGAATGGAAAAATAGAATTCATGCGGCCAACCCCTTTCATATAGGATTAAGGCCAAGATGGATGATGAACTTTTGTTGCCATATCTTCGGCAAGTACATGAAGTCTAGCAATACCAACAGTACATCACCCCAATGCTACATCAATGACATAAAGAACAGGCAAGGGAATTAAAGTTAGGAGGTCAAGTACCTCAGTTATAAGCCCCAACTGCTGAACATAATCTTTGCCCGGAAACAGTGGTTCCCTTCTAAGAATCTCCATCAAAATGCAACCAACTGACCAAATATCAATGGCAGCAGTATATTCTGAGCAGTTGAGTAACAATTCAGGGGCACGATACCATCGGGTTACAACATATTCTGTCATAAAATCTGTCTCTGAGGTGGTTCTTGCAAGCCCAAAGTCGCAAATCTTAAGGTCACAATTTGCATTCAGCAGCAGGTTGCTTGGTTTGAGATCTCGATGCAAAACATTTGCAGAGTGTATGTACTTCAGGCCCCGCAACAACTGATATAGAAAATACTGCAAAAGGAAATACAGCTGATGTTTTAACTACAGATCATTTATAATTTGATTTTAAAAGACTTACCAAACAGAAAATTCCAAACAGAAAATTCAGACTGCACACTGTAAATTGCCACTACAAAAAATTTTACTCCATGTGCAAAAAAGTAAATAGACATGCCATATGTTGATTCAAGCATACCGGCACCTAACATTTTATTACTTGTTTCTAGATCTCACTTTCTATTACTTGAATAACACAACATTTCAGCAACTAGGAGTTGACCTATATACATTTTTCATCGCAATGTGGCTTTGTTTTAGAAAAAACTACAAAGAGCTGGGAAATGACTTTGTTTAGTTCAGTTATATGGCTTTGCTATATAATAAAAGAAATTGTTAAAAAAACACAATCAGTTTCTACTTGTATCATATTTTGGAAGAAATTACACCAAAACGTGTAATTGCAACTTTGAATTGAAATTTGAAACACAGATCTTTTTGATATAATTATACCATCATCTCTCAAAACCCCATCCCAGTCACTGCTTCTATCATTCAGTCTTCCATTGGTGGAAGAGTTAGAATGCCCCTTAAAGATTTATGACTAAATGATTAAAATATTGTTATTCGGTTGCTTGTGACTTTGAAATCCTATTTTTGTCTTAAATTGTTAAGTTAGCTTCAAATGTTTTTATTGGAGAAACCTTGGACGGAGAAATGCTTAACAAATGCAAAAGGATGACCTTTTTTCTGATACAAGTGACATGACCCTCAAAATTGAGTTTTTACATACCCATAGTTGAAAAACTTAAAAACTTAAAACACATCAAGAAATAGAAGTGTCAGAATCTTCAGAAACATTATCGTGTATTATTCTATCATGCATCAAGTCAGGAATCATAATTGAACTATTTAGATTTCTATGGTGATTACACTTGGCAAATTCAGTCAATACTTTGTGGCTAAGAACTGGGGCATTTTTATGTTCCAGCTGATTATTAAGTAGACGTTCTTGGTCCTCAATACCTAAAACCTAAAAGAACAGCTCTCTGGATTGAAGCTCTGTAACAACTCGTGTAATTTGGAAAAATAGAAACTCTCAAGTCTTAGATGAGTTGTCATTAAATGTCCTTGCAGTTCAATAACAAGAAAGCATCTTTTTCCTTATTTGGGTATCTAAACTGCAAGTTTGCTCTGTATATTGATTGCATATCATTAAAACATGTGCACAGTACATATAGAACGTCGTATTTGTTATACAGATAATCATCCATTTATGTAACTACAGAATACTAAAGTCAGAAAATGGTCCAAGCCCAAACTATTTGATATTCAAGTCAATCAAGACCAGTATCCCTATGCATCAACAAAAAGAGAATAGCACGGTACATGATAGAGACTAGTAAAGATGCATGAGAGGCACTAGAGTTACAGAGCAAACGAGAACTTGAAGAGCTGGGCTAATTCACAAAAATCTTTAAATATTCAGTAACCACATGGTACAAAAGTAACAGCATCAAATTTTCAAGAGGAATATGTCTTGATGCAGAGAAAATTCAAGATGTGTAATTATGGAAAGCACTTTCAACTTTGCAGCATAGAAGACCATGAGGAACCAGTAAACAAATTTGCCAGACAGTTGTCATAGATCAATCCAAACACCATACACTGAAATCGTTCACCATGAATCAACTCAAATCTAATCAACTCACTATTGGTTAATTAACATTCAAATGAAATGACAAATTTGAGAGTGACTTTGTTTAAGCACGTTAAATACAGCTTCTATACACTGCAACCCATTAAATAACTTACTAACATTTGTTAATAAAAAATAGGCAAAAGTGCAAAAAAACCCCTGAACTATTCACTTTGTTGCAAATACCCCCCTGAGCTACAAAAGTGTGCAAATACCCCACTGAGACTCACCGGATCAACTTTTCCGGCCTATGCTAATTTGAAATGACCGAAATAACCTTACTTATTAAATTATATAAGAAAGATAAAAAAAAGCCTAATTTTTTCTTTTATTATATATATATATATATACACACACACAAAGATGCATACATATATATATCCACACACACAAGGCTGCGCTTTCACCGCCGCCTCACTCATCGCCGGTGCTTAATACCAATTCCAGCTCTACAGTGCTCAAGTTCTCGCCGCCGCTGATGATTACATCCTTCCATCGGTCTTTGATTCAAGCCGTTGTCAGAATTTCCTTCAATCAGTCTTTGATGGGTGTGCTATTCTTGGAATCAGATCCCTGTTGGGCGAAGCTACAAGATATTAAATTGTGGTGAAAAACTTAACTTGTGTTGCTAGACGATAAAAATTTGATGGATTTTCAAAGTTCTGTATGAAAATTATTTATCTATATATAAAAAGTCATGGACCCCTATACGTTGAAGCATGGGAAGATTATAAAAACATTAATTGATTATATGTATTTGGCATAAGTGGTTGTTGGTGCCACACCACTGTTGTGGAAGTTTATCTTAGGGAGTATATGGTTGTATACTAAAACGTTCAATGCCGATGGACTGAGTGTGCGGTTGAAAGTGAAGATAGCCATGGATGGTGAGCACGAAGCTTCCGGGTTTGACTTGGGGTTCCTCTTGGTTCAATTGGGTTCGTCATGGGTGTGATTGGCTTTGTCATGGGTCAGACTGGGTGGTGATGATGGTGGTAGAAGTGGTGGTAGTGGTGATATATATATATATATATATATATATAAAACCAGCCAATGCTCGCCGGAATTCTCTCTCGCCGTCGTCCCAATTCGTCGCCTTCGTCTTTCATCGCCGCCTCAATCTTTTCCTCTACTTTAACCTCATCACCAGCGGCATTGGAGAGGTCTGTTAATGGTCCCGGTTGAGTCAACTCATTCACTCCTCGCTCTCTATCTAACTCAGTACCCACAATTCGTTCCAAGACGACGACGAACCATCTCATCATCTAGCGAGACCACCACCGGCATACCATCCTCATCGAATCGCCGTCGTCTCCTGAATAGTACTTCAACTCTGGCAACATCCACAACAAACTGTCTTCACCGTTCAATCACTTTGAGAACATATCCTCTATTCCTTGTTGCTTCGTCGTCATCAGAATCCTCTCTGGTTGTCGATCCTCTCACAGTCCATCGTGGATCTGTTATCATGGTAGACCTAGTTCCACCGTCTGTGCCTCCATCTCTCTCTAACTTTCTGTACGTCTCTCTCTCTAACATAAACTTAAGTTAGTGGGTTATAATTGGTATTTTACAATTAGGTTTTTTTTTTTATTTTATATAATGTAATAAGTAAGGTTATTTCGGTTATTTCAAATCAACGTATGCCATCCGGTGAGTCTCAGGGGGGTATTTGCAACAAAGTGAATAGTTCAGGAAGTTTTTTGCACTTTTGCCTAAAAAATATACATAAATAGTTTATGATCTAAAGCAGCTTCAAATTCAAATATGATCCATCTTAGATCAAGGAGATTCCAGGGAAATAAGTGTTGTTTCATTCTTTTAGAGGTTGTTTTGGACTTTTGGTATCTCGAGAATTGGTTCGAACCAAGTCAAACTCATTCCTTATCTATGTCACGAAAAAACCAACATTAAGTAAGCTAAGAAAAAAAAAAAAAAGGAAAATTTAAAATATGACACCTTTTCTAGCTTATATTACAAAAGTGACCATATTCAAAAGAATGGGTCTATAAAGCTATTTAACACAATGTAATTACAAATACAACAACTTATACACTAGCAATTTCGTATTTGACAAGTACCTATACAGTATACATTTGAGTCTAAATTTTTTTTTTTTTCCTAGTTGGTACTCACACACACTGTCTCTACTGATGTTCGAACTCCTGACCTCCCTTTGCAAAGTAAGGGCCTTGTACCGCTAGGCCACAGGCCAGTTGGTACATTTGAGTCTAAATTACACATCACATTGTGCAAAATGACTCTCCCAAAGCCCAAAACTATTCATAAACAACCACCATGAACAACCACCCACCAGCAAACCATTCCGTCCGGCAAGACATTTTGGCAAACTTTTATAACAAACGCAACGAACCCAAGTTGAATCAAAAATCACGAAAGAAAAGTAAACACACCACACAAAGAACACAAAGATTTGTACATGGTTCGGCAACAGCCTACGTCCACGGTTGGGATCTGACGAAAGTTTTCACTATGTGTAAAATCGGAGATTACAAGATTTCAGCCCCTCACTCTGTTTCTATACGAATTCCAGAGTCTCTCTCCCTTTAACAAGTAACCCTTCTGCCGAACTTTCTGTATTGCCCTCAAACGTCCTTTTCTGCAACTCCTTAGAATTCAGAGTTGCCTTCACGTCTTTCATGGACAAGGTAGTTCTGTCATACATCATTGTATCAACAAAGTTCTCATACGAGGGTGGTAGAGAACACAACAGAATAATAGCTTGATCTTCAGCCTCCATCTTGACATCAATATTATTCAAATCCATGATGATACTATTTACCTCGTCAAGATGGTCTTTCAGAGACGACCCTTCGTGCATCTGAAGAATGAACAACCGCTTCTTTAGATACAAGCAATTCGCAAAAGATTTTGTCATATACCGGGACTCCAACTTCTGCCACAGCCCATCCGCCGTAGTCTCTTCCGTAACCTCTCACAGAACCTCATTACTCAAGCACAACAAAATCGTATTGTGTGCTTTCTCCATAACCTCATCTTTGTCCTTGATCTTTTCTGGCAGTGCATCCTTCCCCTTCAGCGCCTTAGATAACCCTTGTTGAACCAACAAAGCTTGCATCCTAACCCGCCACAAGTTGAAATTGTTTCTGCCGTTAAACTTCTCGATTTCCAAAAACTTGGTCGACATCCCTGCTTCGAACCAAAAGCTCTAATACCAGTTTGTTATGACAAACGCAATAAACCCAAGTTGAATCAAGAATCACGACAAAAAAATAAACACACCACACAAAGAACACAAAGATTTGTACGTGGTTCAGCAACAGCCTACGTCTACGGTCGAGGATCCGATGAAAGTTTTCACTATGTGTAAAATCGGATATTACAAGATTTCAGCCCCTCATTCTGTTTCTGTACGAATTTCAGAGTCTCTCTCCCTTTAGCAAATAACCCTTCTGCCGAACTTTCTGTATTGCCCTCAAACGCCGTCTTCTGTAACTCCTTAGAATTCAGAGCTGCCTTCACGTCTTCCATGGACAAGGCAATTCTGCCATACATCATTGGATCTTATTTATTCACGCACTTCCGCTGCCCCCAACAAATTGGTATTAGAGCCAAAGGTGAAGGAGATCCAGAAAACACAAGAAGTCTCAACATGTGCTGCAACGAGCTTCAGTTGTAGGTGGAGTAAATCTGCTTAGTTAAAAGGCATGGAACTCAAGTTGTCAAGGTGGAGCCCTGGAGGTTTGATTGATCGAGCAAATTTGTTTTCTTCCATGTAAGGAATTACCTAATGGAATACAACTTTAAAATAGAATCTTAATTAGAATAGGAATTTAAGACACAATTTCCAACAATCTCCACCTTAGCTCAAATTCCATCAAGCCAATCATCACTTTTCATGGCATTGATCAGGACAATTCTTTTGCAGCTATAATCTTGACGATACTCCTGCAAAACTGTGATTGTCCACATTATACATTGCTCGATCAATCAAACCTCCAAGGCTCCACCTTGACAACTTGAGCTCCATGTCATGTAACCAAGCAGATTTACTCCACCTACAACTGAAGCCCATTGCAGCACATGTTGAGACTTCTTGCGTTTTCTGGATCTCCTTCACCTTTGGCTCTGATACCAATTTGTTAGGGCAGCGAAAGCGCGCGAAACACAAAGATCTAATGAAAGCCGACAAAGCAATCACACACAAACACAAGATATACATGGTTCAGCCAAAACCGGCCTTCGTCTATGGATGAAAAGAGATTCCACTATGATTCGTAGAGATATTACAACAATAGAGTACCAACACCACCACTCCACGAGTCTACTTCCTCGCTACCAGCATCACCGGTGTTTTTCTTACTCTACCCCCGCAAACTACTTCTACCCATCAACTCCCTCATGAGACTACATCTCTCTCAATCTCATAAGTCTCAACCCACAACATATGTACCTATTTATAGAGTTACAAACATAATTCCTTGTTGGACAAGGATTACAATTCCTTAGAGGCCAAGACTTGCCAAATAAAGAATTACCTAATAGAATACAACTTTAAAATAGAATCCTAATTAGAATAGGAATTCAAGACACAATTTCCAACACAAACTACTACCACCACCACCCCACCACTGCCGACCACCAACCACCAATGTCAGCACAATTTGATTTTTTTTTATTTTAAATTTTTGGCCTTTCTCTCTCCCCCCTCTCTCTCCTCTTCAAAATCCCATACACCAATTGCAACCCAAGAAGAAGAAATTCACCAAATCAAATACATGTTGGCTCTTTGTCTATATATCTATACACACACACACATATATATCTATATATATTCATCCCCACTACTGTGTGATGCAGTCCCTAACTTGGTTTTGAAATTTCTCCATCAAAATCAACTCCAGCGGAAAATCACCACCGTCTGCAACCACATCTCCAAACGCAAACAAACCGCCTACAACGACAACAACTCAACCTTCCTCCAGCCACCACCACCTACCGCACTAAATGGCGGCATCTACCTCTCCCTCCTCGAAGCCGTCAAGAAAATCCCAGAACATTGTCAAAGTCATTGACCACCACACCGTCAAGAAGCTCGTCCTCTCCTTCAGGCGCCGCCTTTGCAACAACATTGAAGCCCGCCTCAAACAAGTTCATGAATCCCAGATCAAGCTACACAAAGAGATCGAGAAGCCCAAAATCCTCGCCGATAAGCCGGATCTCTACCCGGAGAAGCTCAAAGCCCTAACTATTTTCCGATGAAATTGTATCAGACGGCCTTGATGATGACTAGGAATAGAAAAATGAGTGTTCCTCCGTACCTAAATATCGTGAACCTCCATTTTCATTGTCATCAGAAGCGTATGAATTGGAAAGTACACCTCCAAGAACGTACTACGTTTTTGGAGTCCAAAAATAATCGAATCATCCCCAGATGTAAGAGAAGCAAATCGTTCTTGGGAAGCCTAAAAGACGCCAATATAGTTTTGGGTATCATGAGTTCAGAAATTTTGTAAAATTGTTTGATTTCGATGCTATTGTTTTTGAGATCATCTTGTAATGGAGTAATTTTTTGAGAGATAGAAGCCATGAACCCTACAGTCTAACCCTTTGGGTGTTGATGGACTTTTAGTACTTGTAGTTTTCTATAGCTGCAACTGAGTAGTAGTAGTTGTTTTTGTTGTTGTTGTTGTTGTTGTTGGTGGTGGTGGTGGTGGTGGTGGTGGTGGTGAGGGTGATTTACTTTGTTTGTCAGGGGCTTCTGTGGGTGGGGGTGCCTGGTGGTGGTGATAGAGAGAGGGGAACAAGGATGCTATGGTAGAGTGTATAGAGAGAGGGGAGATGGATTGAAATTTTAAAAGGTGCGGAGGGTATTTTGGACCAAAATAGTACAATTCCAGTATTGGTAAATTCTTTTGCATAGTGACTTTTATACCCAATACTTTTCGTATATGTTGTATTTGTAATTATGCCCTCATAAGTTGTTGAAAATTAATTTTTTCCAAGAAAAAATACCTCTTTTGCCTTGTTTTCTGTAAAAGACAAACGAGTTTAGAAATAACTGACTCCACCAAACATAAAACTAGTTACCCCTATCTTCAGCTGACTTGGTTCTTGTTTTCCCAAACAGCCTCTTATGGTCCTTTTAATGTGGATTACAGATAAAATTATGGATGATACACACAAGAACTATATTCATGAATTGAAGTGAAAAAATTAAAGAATATTCATATTTTACTAATATGCTAACTTGCAAAGTGAAGCAATAGATTGTCAGCCTTTCATATGATACAAAGCAACTCAATGGAAGATGATGAACAGATTAATCTACAAAAGGCATGCAATGTTGAACCTCAACCTGTTTTAATATATAAATGCATATATGTCTGCATATGTGTCAATGTATTGATCAATATATGTGACCTGCTATTTGCATTAAATTATATATGCATGTGACTCTGTGTATGTGTCAATGTATTGATCAATATTTTGACCTGCTATTTGTGTTAAATCTTAATGTGTTAAATCTCAATGTGTAATAGTACAGGTACAGTGAACAAATCTCAGGTATCTACAAAATACCAGCAATTTGTAGGAGAGCAAGCCATATAATTGACCTACCTGACAGTGATCATCCGTAAGTGCCTGGGAAGAGCGTATTATCTGATGTAGATCAGTATCCATTAATTCATACACGATATACACATCATTGAACTCTTCTCTATCTGGGGGCCGTATGATGTCCTTGATTTTGATGATCTGCGTTAGATCAATGTATTAAAATATCAAATTGACATAAAACAACAAAAATGGGGCAAAAAAGAGAATAGGGTCAGCCACATATCCTCTAACATTCTAACTCTGCAAGTTCATCATTTATCAATCTGACCACTAAGCTATAAAACGTGAACATGCATTTAGGTAAATTAGATGGCCTCAACAGTGTCATTGATTCAGGACACCTTGGCAATTGCAAAAAGTGAACCCAAACTTCAGAGTAATTCATGCAAAATAGTAAGTACATTCTCATGATCCATATGGCAAAGAAGTTTGATTTCGCGTAGGGTCCTTTTCGCATCAATCCTATTGTCAAATGCATTGCCAATTTTCTTGATTGCGATTTCTTCCTTTGTCTCGGAGTTAGTAGCACAGCTGTGATGAAGAGATAAATAACACCCATCAGACGGTCTTGAATTAAAGAAAAAAAAGACACAAAACATTTACCAGAAATACATCAAAATTGTCCTACAGATGTACATGAATTATCAGATGTTTAGGTTTTTAAGAAAATTTGTCTCGGCCACAAAAAGCCACATGTTTAATCTTGTAAGGGAAACAAACTTCAATATTGCCCTTGCTGGTTGTTTATACTTTATCAAGACCAAAGAATTATATCTATATTTGCAACATAAACATTAATTAACATCCGTTAAAATGGTATAACTACATAATTTAAATCCAAAAACGCGTAATTTGAGCTTTAACCTATCACATCATCCAATAATTGGGATGCCTAATCAAATAGAAATAAAAACCCTAATTACTTTTGGAGTATACCATATATATATAGAGATTTATAAGCTCAAATAAACCCTAAAAATCACATTTCAAAATGGCTTTTGGAAGCATAGACGACATCGAATCAAATACAGTCCGTTTGGTTTCTGGGAAAACTTAGGAAAAAGAAAAGAAAGTAATTTGATGTTCAACATTATCTATTTTTCAGTAATCCACAATCATCCAAATATCAACTATACACACATACATTTATACACTAAAATACCTAATTGAGCTACTCGTTTCGTGATTTTTTTTGTTTTCCGTTGTTTCTTTCCTCCATATTCTCAGTTAAACGAAGCACTAAGCAATGTAAACTATGCATACATATTATGTACACACACCACATAGATATATAGGGAGAGAGAGGCAGAGGATTACCAAACGATGCCATAAGCACCGCGTCCGACGGGTTGAAAGGGAGGAACGTACTTGGCGGAGACCTGGAAAAGGTTTCCGAGAACGTTGTATTGAATGTACCTCCCACCATGCGTTAGAACACTTTTTACATCTACGATTTTGCCAGATTCGTTCTCCATCTTTCTCTTTCTCTTTTCTGCGAATCAGATTCAGATGTTAAAGAGAGTGTGTGAGAGAACTCCTCTTTCTCTATCTATATGTATATATCAAACTTTCTCTCACTGTACGAGTTCAGCGGAGGAGAAGAAAGAAGAAAGGAAAAGAAAAGTTGGAGAAAGTGCGAGGTCTCGAGTGCGGCAGGGACCTAAAGAGGGCCATCCGATTCTGGCTTTTTATTTGTGTGCGTTTTTTAATTTTTGAAATTTGAATTAGAGCTTCCTAAAATTCCAACTTTACCAACCACTATACAAAAATCATCGAAAATGTCCAATTCAGGCTCAATCCAATGCGTGATACATTTCAGGCTATCAGTAACAAAACTCGTGCAATTATATAAAGTCCTAACTCCACCTTCGATTTAAATTTAATTCAATTTACATACTAGAAATTAAGTCAATTATTTCTCTTTATAAAAATTAAGGGTTAATAAATTCATACTATAAATTAAGTCAATTATCCCTCTTTATAAAAATTAAAAAATAATTAGTAATAATGCATAGTTAGAGAGACAAAATAAGAAATAAGGTCATGATTATATCATCCTATTTAATGCCATTACTTGCTCACATAAAATAGTACTATTTATTGTTATTAAAAAATAAATATAAATACATTAAAATAAGGTTGATCACGATTATAAGTATATATATAATATATTCAAGATTATAATTTAGGGTAAAGGGCATATAACCCCCTCAACTTTCATCAAAAAACACAAAACCCCCCTTAAATTAAAAAATGCCCCCTGATCTATTAAAAATGTACAATTTAAGGACAAAATGAATAGTCTCCGGCATAAGAGTTCACCGGAGATGTTTGATTACAAAATTACCCTTTTGTAAAAGGACGTCGTTTTAGTGTTTGATTGGCTTCTATTACTGATGTGTCAAACAAATTGTGAACAGACAATAATATTTGGGCAACTCATTATCACCTTACCAAAACTTCAACGCCAAACAGAGTCTGAGCCAAACCCAACCAGTGAAAGTTAAGCTTTGAAATCCTAACTCATCCATTGCAACACCAACATAGCTACTGTACGAACCTCCCCCCTCCTCCCTCTCTATCTCTCTCTTCTGTCTAACTTTCTATTCCCCTCTCTTTCCTTTTCGTGGCCAGCGATGGAGGCACTGCTCCGGCAGTGGTCATCGGCGTCGCGAAAAAGCGATCGCAAGGTCGCGGCTACGCAAGTGCATCACAGCTTGGAAAGGTCGACTTCATGGCGACCCATGTCCAAAACTACTGCTCGGCGACCTTGTGTCGCCGTGGTACAGGTCTCCAAGTCACCGGATGACGAAATTAGCTGTCGTGAAGAGCAGCGACCTTGGGTCGCAATTTGAAGAGGGTTGCATCGCTGGTCAGCAACCCAATAACTTTAGAGAGGGACGGCGACCATGGGTTGTCGTCCATGGTGGTTTCCAGGTCGCGCTCCGACGACCTAGTTATACGAGAAGATGGCAGCGCTCCGGCGTCCTATTCTCTCTCTCTCTCTCTATATATATATATATATATATATCACGATATTTACTGGAAAACGGATCTGATTGTTGTCCTAGGGTAGCATGGTACCGTTCGATTTCAAAATGTTTAGAGGAAAGAATGACTCGTCTTTGATATAATCGGAGTTGGAGCGATCGTAATAGAGTTGCCGGAGACGGATAGGATGACCGGAATTGCCCAGCGGCCAACTCACCACCACCATCAACGTGGAGAATTTTCCTCCTACGGAGACCTTTGCATCAACAACTTTGGTGTGGCACCGCTCCTCTTTCGCCGGAGACTTTAGTGGTTTGGCGGCTGCTATTGCACCAATTTTTGGCCGGAGACTTCACTTTGGCCGTTGCGATTGCATCGTTAATGCTTAGATCTTCTCGCACGGTCATGGAGTTTGAAATTGTGCTATCATCGGTTTCACTGCTAGTTGATGCTTAAAACCTCTCGCTGGCGCCTGTGGTCATGGGGTTTCAGGTTGGTCATATTGCTACTAGTCGTGGAATTTTAGGTTGGGCTTTTACTGATTTTAATGGAATTTCAAGTTGGGCAATCTTTTTTGATTAACAATAGTAGATTAAAATCTAATGAGTGTGGACAACTGTGACCAACTATCTTGCTTGGTTTTAGAGGAAAGAAAAAAAAGAAAAAGAAAAAAAGTAAAGCTAAACCTCTGTTTTTTTGGGGGGACTGATGGTATCATTTTACATGATGGTGACGAACAAGTTCTATCAAATTAAATGTGACACCCCCAACATTTTCCACGCATAAGTTGATCAGGCTTATACACGAAAAACGAGGGATATCAAAAACAATTGGCAATATACAAGCATGGAATACAAAATGATGATAATAAAAGAATTTAGACAGGAAAGAAACACTAAATAATACAACATCCATCCATCCATTATTTAAATACAGTACTCCATTACAACTTGAAAATCCTATGTCAAGGATCCCTAAATATAAACCTGAGAGTTCAACATCAAAAGTAAATAAAAACTGAAACTGAAGTAATACGTAAAACTTCTACCCTGAACTGGATCGTAAGAGTAGATGAGTTCGGATGGTGGTCTCACACTGCTAACCTCAACCTTGGGACGGGTACTGACCGTATCCTGAAATAACAATAATGGTGGGTCAACCCCACGAGCAAGTCCTCTCTACTATGACCCAAATCAGAGAATCAAATAAATTAATCATTTATATCCGGATGAGTACTATATCTGTATACATCCTAAGGGAACTATCCAATGTATAACATGACCTCAACCAGAATAGACGGTGATCACTTAGACTCACACTAGGTGGTTAAGTGTCGCCTTTCCCTACCCGGGAAATCAGCTATTATACATGGTGCACGGTACTGACAACACAGACTATAACGAACTACACAGTGATAACATCTCTCAAAGTACTGATGAATATACTGAGCATATAAATTAGGCAATACATGCCAATAATATTACTAAATATACTGAGCATGTCAATTAGGCAACACATGCCAATAATATTAAACCACATACCCCGACAGCCACACATCTGTCTTTAGCAACGAATGCATAAGGTATAAATGAGTCTAAACTTATTAGCTAGCTCACATGGTTCTATATGGCAACACATCCATATAATATAAATGTGACATAATTAAACAGTCCATTTATTTCCTGAAATGCACACAGCATGATAATCATGGTTTATATATCATTTAACAGTATAAACATCCCATAAGATATCATGGATAATTTATATGACTAAAACCATGGCATTATTTAATTTAACAGTAATGTTTGATACCATTTAATAAGATAATAACACTATTTATATTTAACAATGTCATTAAATAAATCACATTAATATCCGTACTGTAAACGAGCCAATAAATGCTTAGAAAAGATTAATCGGCCATAAGAATAATTACCGGGTATTAAAATAATAATTTCGTGGCCCGTTAAACCCGTAAATACCAACACAGTACCTAAAAAATCCACGTTTAAGGTTCTGGAATTTACAAAACAAGCCCTAGGGTATTCTGGTAATTTCCAGCAGCTGACAGGGCCCCTCATGCGCCCCCACGCGCCGCCTTAAGCTTCCCCACGCGCAGCCCAACCTTCCCCACTCTCCCACGCGCCTCCACGCGCGTCTGGCATCAGCCACGCGCGCGCACGCGCTCCCACGCGCGTCTGGAGAGTTCCACGCGCGCGCACGCTCTCCCACGCGCGCGTTGATGGCTTCTTGCTGACGCGGCGACCTCCGGTTGGTTGGCTGCATCATTTTTCCTACATGTGCGCCACACCGGATCAATCCACCTATCTTCCCTCCATCCAACGCTCCTAGATCCGGTTGTACCGCGGTAACATGGACCGCGGTGCACTGGATCAATCGCTCCTGTTAATGGCCCAGATGCGCGCGCATACCCTCCTATGGTGCGCCGCATCACACCGGATCACTCCGGTCATCTCCCCCATTACCAGCGACCGGAAAACTCGCCGGAAGGTCGCCGGAAATTGCAGAAAAGCCCCGGAAAATCTAGAAAATTCTAGAAAAATCCTTAAAGCCTTATATAATTATTTTTAGCTATATTTTAATTACGTAGGCTAATAAATAATTATCTAACCCCTTTTTTATAATTAAAATCACATTACTTTAATAAACTAAAAATTAATTTACTGACATTCCTAGCATGGTTTCTAGTCTCTAAAAAAATCAAAATAAATTAAATGAGTAATTTATGGATTCAAAGGGGAAAAGTAGATAATAACTTGCCTTATGGATTTAAAATAAATCCGCCGGTTGTGCGTAGTCGGGTAAAATCGCCTACACCGGTCCAAGCTTCTTTCTCTCTCTCTTTTCCTTTCACTCTTATAAAATAGCCCTCTGTAATTTTTAAGCTTTCTAACTTAAGTGAGTTGCCTTAAGGGTAAGTTGGCTAACTAATATATATATACAAACTTATATAATATATATAATACAAATATCTAATTTACATTAACTTCTCACCCATTCCTCACATTCCTACCTATAACATTTAAGCCAAGCAAGCCAAGTCAAGCAAAATGTCCTAAGGTTCAACTATGGGAATGAAATCCTATCCTAAGATTTAATTTTTCATCATTACATTAATTTATTATTATTATTATTATTATTATATAATACAAATTAAATACTTTAATTTAAATAATATTAATTAATCTAAAACATAACCAATAAAATGTCTAAACTAATCATTATAATATATAGAACAAAAAAATCAATATTACATGCGCAAATAAATAAAATTAATTAAATAATTTAACATATATAATTAAAAGGTGAATAAATCTACACATTAAAGAATTAACCTAACACAAAATTAATTTAAATAAACTCTTTAAAATTACGGGGTATTACATTAAAGGCGACATTCTAGGTTTTGGATGGGGTTCGTTCTCGATCTCAGAAGATGGAGCGAGAAATACACGGAGTATATACATATATACATACATATATGTATATATATATATATATATATATATACACACACACTACGTTTTATATATATGTACTACAACATATGTATATATATGAATATAAGGGTAGGGTTGGCATTTTCAATTTACGGCATATGCACGTGACTATTTTACGACCAAAGTTTACTGAAACAGTGTCACCTGACTTTTTTTTGCAAAA